CCCCGCCTCCTTGCGCCCCGGCTGCGGCCGCGGCGGGGGGTCCAGCGGCGGCGCCGGCCGCAGTGGCGGGGCCGGAGGCCGCCGCCTTTTTGAGGATTGCTGAGACCCAGCCCAGGGCCCCACGGACATGCTGGTTTTGGAGGGCCGCGTCGGTTGCTGCGGTGACCTGTGTGTGTGTGTGTGTGTGCGTGCGTGCGTGTGTGCGTCCGCCCATGCGTGTAGAGTGTAAATAAATGACTTCTGTGTGTTGGCTCAGGTGTAACTGTGTTATGTGTGTGTGTTTGTGTGTGCGTGGATGCACCCAAGCTTTATAAATAGAAGCACTCAGAGCAACGAAGGCACAAGCACACAGCACAGCAAGGGCAGGGTCACCCATCGCTCGAAAAGGCGCTCCGGCAGGAACGGTTTGCACTAGAGGACATTACCTGCCAGCCGGCAGCCAGCTCCTGCCACTCATAAATTTCATGCGGACCAACATCGGGCAGGCATACCCACCACGCCAGTACGAGGCGCCGCCCCCGCCCACCTTGCTGCCCAACGCCAGCAGCGCATCTTGCGCCAGCGGCACGCGCCCCGCCGCCGACTCAGCCGCCGCCAGCCGCCCGAGCGTCCCTGGGTCGCCGCCGCCGCTGCTGGTGCCCGAGCCGCCGGCGCCGCCGCCGCCGCGGGCATCTGGTGACAGGGCCGCGTCAATCTTCCCGGCGAGATTCCCGGCGGTGTCCTGCGCGATCTTCTCGAGCTGCTGGACCTGCGGCAGTGTGAAGTACGGTGGGAATACGCGCCTGGGCGCCGCCTGGAAACCAGTAGCAGGCTGCAGCATGGCCATAATGCACACCACTGGCCACGCCGCCTTGGCGAATGGCAATGACTGCAGCAGCTCGTCGATATGCCCGCGTGCGCTGGAACATGAACGGCAGTCGTGGAGAGCCCCGTGTATGTCACTGACAAAGGTTGTTGAAGGATGCAACACCGACCTGGGGGTTCGAGGCCAGCTTGGCGGCCACCTTGGAGGCCGCGCCCTGCGCCTGCGCCAGCGCCGCCTGCGCGCGCTCCTGCGCCTTGATGCGCTGCGCCGCCGCCGCCGTCGCATCCACCGCCTTGCGCACCGCCTGCGGGGCGCGCGTGGCACACCAGGGAAAGGGTCAGCGGGTTTGGAGACTGGAGGATGCTTTCCGGTGTCTGTGCTGGTGCCCCAAACAGGTCCCAACCGCTGTGCCGACATCAATTTGTGCCGATACCCCGTACAACCCCCCTCCAAACTCTAACCCCCACCTCGAACGCCATGACGTCCTCTGACAGCAGTGACCGGTAGTCCAGCTCCAGCAGCTCCCGCTTCAGCGCCTCAACAGAGTGCGCGCTGAACCGCGGCACCTGTGTGTGTACGATGCGGCGGCAAGCTGCGTCGGCGTTGCTGTCGGTGCATCGAGAGGTGTGGGATCGTCGCTAGAACTTTGGTCGGGTTTGATGGGTCTTTGCTGTTGGGATTGAGGTGCCAAAAAAGACAGAATCGGGCGGGTCGTCGGGTGTGTCAGATCAAGGGCTCTGGACCCGCCTGGATACCCACATGCATGCCTGTGCCGACCTTGCTGGTGCAAGAAGCGGCCGCATCTTTCATGTAATCAACCTTGGATCAGCACAACAC